GCAGCTGGTGTCGAGGAATATAGAATGGAGTTATGAAATACATGGTAGTAAAATGGTTTTCGGTCGGAAAACTAACGCCAAGATTGAGATGGCGAGCAGCAAAGATGAGCCCAGAGTACACGTATCTTTACGTGGAGACCAGTTTGTTATCGATTTGAAGGCAAAAACTGGCCGCGGACAACGAACTGGTGAACAAATAACACTGACCAGGAAGGTGAAGGGAGCTGAAGAAGGTTAGTAAAGAGTCCCTTAGTCATGAAAAATACATGAAAGCGCACGTAACCATGCACGTCTCTATAGCTAGAGTAAGGGAAAAGCCAGGATCGATATTTTTAATCTGTTCGGTCTTATTTCTGTTGTTAAAGTAGTCGGCTTGGCCATCCCTGATTAGTTTTATTAAAATTCAGCTACATTTGCTTTAATCCGCCACGGCAGTGGAAGGTTTTACACTCATCTACAAGTTTGTAACATTTTCAACATCCTCTGTTCCAAGCCTTCTAATCTGGGCATCATGGAAACACTTCATGGAAAAGGATAGTCCTTCCGCAGGACCGTTTCCTATAGTTTTCAACTCTTTATCACGCTTTCATGCTAAATTTTAAGTACGATGGTAAAATGTTATCTTAAACTTCTAGGAATTCCACTTCCAAAGCACTGGAGTCCAATGCCACCCTCTGAGACTGTACACAAAGTACAACTTCTCCCAGGCTCCTCTGAGTATCAAGATGTCTTGAGCAAAATGCACGCCACCACTGGCGCAATAAATGTTCAGAACATCGAGCGGGTGCAAAATCCACATCTGTACCAGTCTTACATGGTGAGAAAACAGAAGATGGATAAAGACACCGGGGGAAATAGTGAACGGCAGTTGTTTCATGGAACCGACGCTAAGAACATCAGCCATATCAACACTCAAGGATTTAACAGAAGTTTCTGTGGAGTCCACGGTGAGTGTGAAAGAGAAGAGCCTGTTTGAGGAGCTTTGATCTCAAATAGGAGCCCATCACCGAGAGCCTCCATACGTACTATGACATAGAGTCAAGACTTTCCCGTATCTTTATATCCTAGAAACTGTAACTACCGTTGGTGTCTCTTGGGTTTCCGCGAAATATCTTCTTTCGGCGACTAAGAAAGCAAAATAGCGCTCAAAGGGTGATCCCAGTCTTTGTTCTAACAAAGGACAGTCTTGGCTCGTATGGGATAGGCTATGAAAAGGGGGTCTTGTGAAAACTCCCACGAGAGGCGTTTCTAAAAACACAAATATACGGGGAAAGGGTAGACTCACAGGGTTAGTATGGGAGATGGAACCTCCGGGTGATGGGCTCCTGTCTGAAATAATGTTTCTTGGGATAAGTCTAGCCGGTAGGGTGGATCGTTTCATATTACTCTGAAGACGAACTTTAAAAGTGCGGCGAAGGAGCCTTTGAGGTTCATGCCTATCGGTTTTGTAGTTTTCATTCATTCTGTGTGGCAATTGCTTAAGTGTATCTTTCCTATTTTCCCAGGAACGGCCATTGGTCGAGGTGTGTACTTTGCCAGAGACGCCCAATACTCAGTTGGATACGCTGCGGGTGGTGTTGGGGGTCGCTACATGTATCTTGCTCGAGTCTTGGTGGGGCAGTATTGCGTTGGAAAATCTACTATGATCGTACCCCCGCCCAAAAATCCATCGAAGCCGGAAATTTTGTACGACTCCGTAGTAGACCGGATGGGAAATCCGGGCATGTTTGTAGTTTTCTTTGATAATCAGTGTTATCCTGAGTATCTGATAACCTTTTAGTAATCTTAAATTTCTGCTAAGTCAGTTTGAACTTGTTTGTAATCCACTTGAAAACCAAAGTAGAACTTTAAGATGTGCCAACACAGGCGCTCCGAAATAGATTCTCAATCGATAGGGCCTAGAGTTTTTGTGTTAACTCCTTTCGCTGTTGGAGACTTCAGACACAAGATGGAGCTTAGGAGAACGAGTTCTCAGAGGGTGATAGAGCATCTAAATGTGGCAACCAGAGCAAGTAACCAGATTGTCAGCTGACTTATGAACATTTTCTCGAGTTTCAATACTTGCAATTTGTGAATTTTAATGAAATGCACCTCAAACGTTGACTAGGGTTCTTTTAATGTGAAAAACCAATACCTTTGTAGATGACTTAACCGATTCATCAACCTTTATACGCTTTCCTTGGCCCATTTTTGTTTCTGAAGTAGCGGATCTGAACTAGTAGTCTCCGAAGAGTCGTAAATTAACGTTTTTAGAAGCAACACATACGATGCTCATTGGGGTAGCTTGGAGTGTAACGTTATTTGCTTGAAGAACCGAGTTGGCTCAGAGAGGATGATGGGTAAGAGAGTTCGCCCCCACATATAGGCCTTACTTCCCTTCTTTCTATATATAGACCTTCTCTCACGTATAACGTACCACGCCCGTTGCCAATATGTTGTTTTGGAGAATGCAAACGCGGGTAAAGCCGCTTGGGCTGTCCAAGTGAGCAAACTTAATTCGCGCGCCGCAGAATCTGTTATATCGAGACCCCACTGGGATTTCAGGAGCCTGGCCGGTGATGCACTAATGACTTAAATTCTCTTACGTTTCATCCGTACCTGAGGTTGCTCAAAAGGCGAGATCGTTTTTGTTGACATCATAGGAAATTCAGTTTGCAATTGAATCATACAAGTTAACAAATCAATAAAGCACTGACTATACAATGGCTTGAATCTTTGTTTTGTTCGGGGGACTTTTCTTTCATTTCATAACCACTCGCGTCACAAATATGATATTTCCGAGCAAAACACTAGTGAGGGGGGTTCAATTGAACCCTCTAAATTAAAAAAAAATAGACATTTTAACACTCTGACTTAGCCTCAGCCTTAGCCATTTCCGAGGACCTCAATTGTAAAATTTTCCCGGGGAGTATGCTACAGACCCCCTACAAGGAACAGCTTTCGGCGGTCCTCTTCTCTAGAATCCTGTGTGTGCCACAGGGGGAGATATTTATCATTTATCTCTACAGTTCATAGGGTATATATATAAACATATATAGGGTAAATGTAAATGCCTGATGTAGAATAAATAAACCTAACCGGGGTAGGGGCGATGGAAGGGTAACTTTTGTGAGTAAATGCATATTTTAGGTGTGGTGTGTTAATCGGAATAAGCAATGATGTGTTGTTGTTTAATTTTTTGCTGCATTAATCAGAGTACATCTTTTACAAAAAATGCGATAAAATTCTAGGAACGACTCAAGAGTGAATGCTTTGATTATATGATATGTTAATTAAAGATCCATTGGTCTACTGCAACAGGACCTACATGTTATGTACGCTCTTTTTTTCTATAAGAATATTGCTTTTCCGGCCGAGATTGAATACTGTATTCTTATTTTTCTTCCGATGTTACGCTGAAAATATTCTTGTCAATATTCTTAGATTGAAGCGTATGACCTTTCTTTTTTTTTTTCGAATGTATCTGGTGTTTGGATGGTGTTAAAGTAATTTCAGAGCCAACCTGCAAGCATTAAAGTCTGATCGATTTGACGCCCATAACTTCTTGCAGAAATGCTATTAGCATCGAACATACGGCTAGTGCTGTTTTTGTTTCTTCTGGCTAGTTTTGCCGTTCAGAGAAAGGAAGTATTTTATACAGTTGAGTTCAAAACATATAATTGCATTGTATTAACATATTTTTAACACACAAAATTCTCAGCCTCGGGTTTATATATTCATAAAATACTCTTAAGATTTCGCGAATTTCAGCCTCAATATTTTTATAACTTATATTCTTATGAGAAAGAAAGGGTGCTGAGATTGTTTGCCCTTCGTTGGCCCCTCGTCAGAGTGCCTGAAGGGCTAGATAATGCTGGAATTGACAGTTTCATACACTCGCTACGGCAGCTAATTTCAAGCTGATAATAACTTACTGTATTGTAATACCAAACTGACAACCTGCCTGGCGTATTTCCTCTGTTATCCTAATTTATAATTAGTGGTTAGTGCTGCACTGGCTTATAGTGTCCTGCGTAACCCTGTAATGAACGCGATTATTACACGCTCAGAGTCCATATGTTCACTTTTATTGTTTCGTCTACACTGGTATTTGACAAAATGAATATGTTGCTGCAGCTAGGAATTAGGAATATTTTTATTTGGGAGTTGAAACTGTATACACATCGTGAACGAAAATCAGGAAATGGTCAGGGAAATTTCTGTCCAGCTAGTTTCGCAGACGGAAAAATTACTGAGCTTAGCTTTAGTAATTGTCTGCACCTTCAAGCCCCGTGTGTGGTATTGCTCCATATGTAGTGTAATAGTTAATTTGTAATGTAACTTTAATATATGCTATTATTAAAAACAAATCCTCTTGATTGATTACAGTTAAGTTAAGGTCATTCCTCACATTTGCATTGCGCATCCTTACTGCGCATAATTTATGGCGTCATTAGCGCG